GGGCCCCAACAGGATTCAAAAGGGCCCCAACAGGATTCAAAAGGGCCACATCAGGATTCAAAAGGACCACATCAGGATTCAAAAGGGCCACCACCTGCACAGCCACAGAAGGCACAAGCACAGCCACCACCACCTGGGCCAAAGTCACAAAAGGAGCAAGTCCCTCCAAAACAGAGCACCGTCAAGGACTGTCTTCAGAAGGACACCCAAAGGCAAGGACCCCAGACTAAACCAACGGGAGCTCAACAAGACTGCCAGCAATCCTGTAAAGTGTGTGATAAACCCCCAATCCTTCCAGGCCATGGTGAGTATGCCACCCGAGAGGGCAGGAGGTGAGGGGCCCCTTACCATCCCAGTCCTGTAGAAGTTCTATTGGTCTCTGTCCTGTCCAATCCTTCCTGGCACCCTTGTCCTCTAACAGCCTTAAGTGGCCTCCTTAAGTGGATGGGTTTCCTCCAACCTAAGGCAGCAAAGAAGCTTCTGAATAGTGATTGGGTAGGTGTCTGTCAGCCACTTTTCTAGGGCTTGGCAGAGAAGGTGGGGATATTGTAGGCTATAAGCAGATAGAATTTGAGCCCTGTAAAGTCTGAACAGGGAACCGTAGAATGGAGATTCTTCATGGGAGGTTCAGTCTGTGTCTAGCCCCAGGGAGGGCCTATTCCCACCCCCAGCCTCCTTAGCAACTGCCAGATGAGTGACTCGTGCTTTGTCTTATCAGGTCACACGAATGCTTGCCAGTCTAGCTCTTCTAAATATTCCAGACTCACGGTGAGAGGCAAAGGGGCTCTGGCTAAGTGTCTGAGTGCAGGTCTGCTTGTGCCTGTGGAAGCCAAGGAGGATTTCTTAGCATAGGTCTAGGGAGAGAACTGGAATCATTTCAAAGTCACTTCCAGGTTTTGTTTTGAAATTATTTTTGTGGTACAGGGAATTGAACCCAGGGCCTTGTGCATACTAGTCAAATGTTCTACCCCTGGGCTATTGTTCTCACCTACTCTATCCTCAAAAAAAAAAAATAATAATAATTTTTACTTAAAAAAAAGTAGTTACTTAGGTATTTTTGCACATGGGTGGGTATCTGAGGAGGCCAGAAGACAGCAATGGACTCCCTAGAGCTGAATTATAGGTGGTTGTGAGCTGTCTGATGTGGGTGTTGTCTTCAAGACAATGTCTCTCTGTGTAGCTCTGGCTGTCCTGGAACTCGATCACAGACCAGACTGGCCTTGAACTTGTAAACATCTGCGTCCCTCAGCCTCCATCATGCTGAGACTTAAAGTGCTACCACTTGGCCTGCTGAGCTCCAGCTGCCTACGATTTTAGGATCTTGTTACATCTCCTGGGCTTGCTTTGAACTCACTCAGTCCCTCCAGCGAGTCTTGAACTTGAGACCTTCTCACTTCAGCTTCCCAGGTAGCCAAGATTACAGGCTTGAGACTCCAGGCCAGACTACCAGCTGGTAACTCTAATCATCACGTAAAGCAGTAGGAGTGTGGGGGGCGAGGTACCAAGGGTGAGGCCGCCTGTGCAGGTTCTCAGCCGCTTAGGCCGAAGAGTAGCTGCTTTTATTTAACTTTGATATTTCAAGATATTCTCAAAGCAGCACAACCAGAAACAACTAACTTTTGTTTCCTGTCTTTTCGTTTTTTTTTTTTTTAGTCAACTAATTACATCCAGCAGTGGTGATCTTCTAGAGATGGACTCCAAGACCTGATGATACCACAAAGCAAAAACAAAACCCAAAAATCAATCAACCAAACAAAAAACAACCACCACCAAAAAAAAAAAAAAAAAAAAACCAACCAGACAGCAGCAACCACACTTTCTTTCCACTAGCTGGGATTAAAATGTAATTCCTGGAAAGAACCAAGTGATTGAGACTGGTTAATGAGCATGGGATGAGGGAGGGCGGCGGAAGGACCCACAGTGGAGGTGGAGAATGGAAGAGCAAGCCCACGCTGTTGGTGGCCAAGCCTAGGGAGAACATGGTCTTAAGCCTCCACCCCCAGTGCACCCCAAGATTGCGCCTCCTACAACTATTACCACTGTTCCTTAGCGTGAGGACAGGCTTCAAGGCTTGTTAATGAGAATCACTAGAACTGAGCCCATGCTTATTAAGATACAGCCTGAGAAGGGAGGGGCGGCGATACACTAGAGCAGTTGCAGAATTGGGGGTGGGGTGAGGGCTGGGGGTGGCTTTATATAATTCTGGGCCCATACTAGGTATTAAGGTGTTAAACAGGTGATGCAGGAGGGGACTAAGAGAATCCAGAAGAGAGAGATGTTGCAGCAGTGGGTTCAGGACAGATGGCCTTGGAAAGGAGCAAAAGCTGGCTTGCTGGTTAAAGTCTTTCTTCCTAGGTGTCATATTTTACACTTAGAGGGCCAGGAGATTCCCAGTCCAGGCTGGAAGAGGAGGCAGGGCTGGGGATCCTCAGTATCAGCCTCCAGGAAGACACAAATCCTATGAAGGCCTTTCTGCTCTAATTCAGTCACATCAGTCACAACGGGGGACCAATGGGACGTTTCACATTAACACAGGGCATCAGCTCTGGGTCAGGAGCCTTGTGGTAGTGTAGTCTAGGGATGGTCTCTGAATGGGGCAGCTGTAGTGTAGTCTGGGGATGGTCTCTGAATGGGGCAGCTG